AAAAAGTGTTTTGTTTTTTGAGGGTCTCCCTCTGTTGTCCAGGCTGGAGTGCAGTGATGCAATCAAAGGTTACTTACTGCAGCCTCGACCTTCTGGTCTCAAACAATCCTCCTGAGCAGCTGGGAGTACAGGCACATGACACCATGTCGAGCTATTTTTTTTTTGTAGAGACAGGGTCTAACTATGTTGCCCAGGCTTGTCTCAAAATCCTGAGCTGAGACAATCCTCCCACCTCGGCCTCTCAGCATGCTGAGATTACAAATGAGGGGCACCACACCAGCCCCTGTTTTTTGTGAGTTGGAGTTTCAATCTGTTACCCAGGCTGGAGTGCAGTGGCACGCTCACAGCCACTGCAGCCTCGACTTGCTGGGCCCAGGTGATCCTCTTGCCTCAGCCTTCCAAGTAGCTGGAACTACAGGCCCGTGCCACCATAGCCCAGCTAAGTTTTTGATTTATTGCAGAGACAAGGCCTTGCCATGTTGCCCAGGTTGATCTTGAACCCTTAGGTTCTGGCAATCCTCTCGTTTCCGCCTCCCAAAGTTCTTGGATTACAGACATGAGCCACCTCTCCTGACTTTAGTTTAATCTTATAAACTCACTGGATTCAGACAAGTGGCAACTTTATAGCTTCTCTCTTAGTTAAGGCCTTCTGGTTCACCATGGAGGAGAAAGGAAATCTGTATAGGCAGGAATGCCCCGCACAAAACACACGTCCGTAATGCCTTTTTGGGTATTTTTCCTTCAAAAAAAAGAGTTAAAAGTGGGGTGCAGCAGGGAGGTGACTGTGGGGTGCACCAGTGGTATGTAGGTGATGCACTCAGCAGCAGGAGGCCTGTAGCTGATCCTGCCCTTCTGAGTGGTCTGGGTGTTGCTAAGAATCTGTTAGGAAACATTTCAAGTTTCTTTGGTAAAAATATTAAAACAAACATGCCATCCAACAAACAGTTAATACATAGGGTAGATTAGGGTGCCGGGAACTGGGAGTCTCGTTCACGGTGGGCAGAAGCATAAATTGATCAAAGCCCTAGGGTAATGTGACAGCATGGGAAAGCCCTATGGCTTTTACCCTGCAACTTCCTACCGAGAAAGTTATCCATTGAAACAAATAAGGAGAGTTGCAAATATTTCACTGTAAAGTTGATCATTGCAGCATTGTTGGTAACAGCTAAAAACTGGAATTAGCTAAAATGTCTAAAACCAAGAAGAACAAATATTTCCATATGAAAACCCTGTCACTATTTCAAAGGATATTGAAAATATAAAAAATTCTGTTCGTTTACATGGAAAGATGTCCACAAATTTTTTTTTTTTTTTTGAGTTGGGATCTCAATCTGTCACCAAGGCTGGAGTACAGTGGTATGGTCGCAGTTCACCACAGTCTCGACCTCCTGGGCTCAGGATATCCTTCTGTCTCAGCCTCCTAAGCAGCTGGGGCTACAGCATACCACCACACCTGGCATATTTCTAAATTATGTATTCATTATTTGTTTGTTTGTTTGTTTATTATTTATTTGTTTATTTTGAGTCAGAGTCTAACTCTGTTGCCCAGGCTAGAGTGCAGTGGCACACTCACGGCCAATGCAGCCTCAATCTGCTAGGCTCAGGTGACCCTTCTGCTTCAGCCTTCCAGATAACTGGAACCACAGGTGAACACCACCACACCCAGATAATTTTTTATTTATTGTAGAGACAAGGTCTTGCCATGTTGCCCAGGCTGGTCTCAAACCCATAGTCTCAGACAATTCTCTGGCCTCTACCTCCCAATGTGCTGGGGCCACAGGTGTGAGTCACCACACCCAGCTTATTTTTTATTTTTTGTGGAAACAAGGTCTCACTATGTTACTCAGGCTGGTCTCAAACTCCTGATTTCAAGTGATTCCCCCACATCAGTCTACCAAATGCTGGGATTACAGGTGTGAGCCACCACACCCAGCCCACAATCTGTCTATAAGAGGGAAAATAATCAGGTTATAAAGCAGTGTGTATTGTGTGATCCCATTAAGGTTTAAAATATAACTATAACTCTAGATCTGTATATAAATAAGTATACACAAGAAAAAATCTGGAAAGACACAAAAACAAAAAGATTATCAATGATTACCTACAGTGGCAGCACTGAAGACATTTTTAATTTTTTCCAATTACTTATTATTATTTGATATGCTTTCTTTCATAAACTTGTACTGCTTTTGTAGTAGAAAAAAATATTTTATTTACCAAAATTGCTCATGATTTTCTAGGGTCTCAGCTGCAGTAGATTTTAGGGGGAACCTCCAGTGTTTCTTTGCCTGCATAAGGAATGTGATTCCAACATGCTTCTTAAGACATTCATGTAATGGTGTTTCCCTAAATCCATAGAGACCTGCTTGTCTGTTTAAGATGGTATTCATCTGCGTTGGTCATTCAGTCCCATCTGTGTAAAGAGAAAGAACATTTTTTTTTTTTTTTTTTTGAGTTGGAATCTCACTCTGTCACCCAGACTGGAGTGCAATGGCCGCTCCCAGACACTGCAGCCTTGACCCACTGGGCGCCGGCAATCCTTCCGCCTCAGCCTTCGGAGTAGCTGGAATTACAGGCACTCGCTACCATGCCCGGCTGATTTTTTGATTTATTGTAGAGATGAGGTTTCACCAAGTTCCCCAGGCGGGTCTCAAACCTGCGGGTTCAGGCAATCCACTCACCTCAGGCTCTCAAAGCGCGGGATTACAGGCTGAGCCACTGAGCCCGGCTAGAAAGTTTTTTTTGTTTTTGTTTTCGTTTTGTTTTTGAGTTAGAGTCTCACTCTGTTGCCAGGCTGGAGTGCCTCAACCTGCTGGACTCAGGTGATCCTTCTGCCTCAGCCTTCCAAGTAGCTGGAACTACAGGCATGTGCCAACACGCCCAGTTAATTTTTGATTTATTATAGAGATGAGGTCTTGGCATGTGGCCCAGACTAGTCTCGAGCCCTTGAGCTCAGGCAATCCTCTCACCTCCGCCTCCCAAAGTGCTGTGATAACAGGCATGAGCCACTATGCCCGGAAAGAAAGAAAATTATTATGCAAGAAGTACAACAATTTTCAACAAATATAATGGGAGAGTTTTTGATTTATTTATGAACTGTATGTATGAAGGATAATGAGTATAAAAATCATAATTAAATTTATTTAAAGAAAGAAAAAACTGGAAGGATAAATACTAAACTGGTATGAATAGGTATCTCTGAGTGGTGAGATTATGGGTAATTTTCATTTTCCTCTTTCTGTTTCTTTATATTTCTTATTTTTTCTGCAATAACTATGTATTGATATAATACGGGGGAAGGGTGGTAGCTTGAAATCCTATCAAAACAACTTGCTTTCATGTAATTACAGTAGAAAGTTCAAATCAGGAGGGGCTTAACCATCACTGCCATGGCAAGAAGGTGATTTTTTTTTTTTTTTTTTTTTGAGTCAGAGTCTGCTCTGTCAGCCAGGCTGGAGTGCAGTAGCACGCTCACGGCCACCACAGCCTCGACCTGCTGGACTCAGGTGACCCTTACACTTCAGCCTTCCATGTAGCTGGAACTACAGGCCTGCGCCACCACACCCAGCTAGTTTTTTGACTTATTGTAGAGATGAGGTGTTGCCATGTTGCCCAGGCTGATCTTGAACCTGTGGGCTCAGGCAATCCTCTCACTTTGGTCTCCCAAAGTGCTGGGATTACAGGTGTTAGCCACTGCATCTGGCAACAAGGTGATTTTTTTTTTTTTTAGGAAGGCCGTATGTCTTACTGAAAGAGCAAGGAACAGAGCATTGAGGAGACTTGGTTTGATTCTGGCTGTGTGACTACAGACAAGTCATTAACCTCCCAAGTTCCTTGTCATCTTCTTATTAATGAATATTAATTCAGCATCTCTTACATACCTTGACCTGATACATACGCTAGGGACCGTGTAGCAAAGCGAGACATGGGCCTAGCAGTCAGGGAACTTCCAAGCCACTGCAGAAGAAAAATAGCAACAGCTATTTTTTATCTGTACTATTTACAGATAAATAGTAATTAACAGTTACAACAGTAACAGCCAACCTATACTGAGCACTTACTAAATGCCAGCCACTGTTACATAAGGTACACACACACAGACACACACACACACACACAGATACTTCCATATATATATAATATATATAACGGTTTTATATGTATACATTTATGTATATAAATATATATATAAACATATTTATAAATATATAATGCATATATATATATCTCAACCCATTTAATTCTCACAATAACCCCATGATGTAGGCATTACTATTATTACCATTTTGCAGATGAAGAAACTGAAGCTCAGAAAAGGTAGCTAATTTACACAAAGATACACGGGTAGTAATTTCAACTCAACCATGCGCTATACTGCACTCAACTAAATAACTATGAGGGTCACAGTTTCCACAAATTAAAATGGAGCCATGACGCCAGGCACGGTGACTCACACCTATAATCCCAGCACTTCGGGAGACGGAGGAAAGAGAATTGCCTGAGCTCAGGAGTTCAAGACCAACCTGAGCAATATGGTGAGACCTTGTCTCTACAAGTCAAAAAATTGGCTGGGTGTGGTGGCACATGCCTGTGGCTCCAACTATTTAGAAGGCTGAGGTGGAAGGACCACCTGAGCCCAGCAGGTCGAGGCTGAGGTGGCCATGAGCATGCCACTGTACTCCAGCCTGGGCAACAGAGTGAGACTCTGACTCAAAAAAAAAAAAAAGAAACAAAACCCAAAAAACAGAGCCATGAGATCATATTCAGGTAAGTCAACCTCATCTCTCAGCATGCAGAAGAGTCTTCCCTGAGGATGTGACATTTTATCAGGGACCCTAAGGTTGGGAAGGAAATTCCAGCAAAGAGCAGGGGCAAGAGCCTCTGGGGCAGAAGGAATGAAGTAAAATAACATTTATGAATTTGTGCCAAGCTTTCTGGGTGGGGTGGATGTAGTGGTCACTGACCATGGTGCTAACAGCAGATTCTCTCTCTGTCCCCAGACACTCCTGGCCAGGGCACTTTATGACAACCGCCCTGACTGCTCTGACGAGCTGGCTTTCTGCAGAGGGGACATCCTGACCATTCTGGAGCAGAACGTGCCAGAGAGTGAGGGCTGGTGGAAGTGTCTGCTCCACGGGAGGCAAGGCCTGGCCCCCGCCAACCGCCTCCAGATCCTCACGGAAGTCACCGCAGACAGGCCCTGTCCCCCACTCCTGAGAGGCCTGGAAGAAGCTCTCACCTACCCAGAGGGGACCTACCAGGTGCCCACCCTGTTCCACCCTCCCCCTCCAGGTCCCATCTACGAGCAGATGAAGAGTTGGGTGGAAGGGCCCCCGCCCTCCACTGCCCAAGTCTACGAATTCCCTGACCCACCCACCAGTGCCAGAATCATCTGTGAAAAGGCTCTAAGCTTTCCAAAACAGGTATGCATATTTCAAACAGAAGAGATGGGTGCAGGGGCAGGAAACACCCAGGAGCTTAACTACCCCTGAGTCATGGATGTCCCTCAGATCAAATGCACATACTGAGAGCCCACATTGTTGGCCATCACACCAGGGAAGCTTGTGCACTGGGCTAGGATGGAGAACCCAGCACCAACCACCTCCTTGTCATTGACACTCCCAGCCTCTCTGTGACTCCCAGCTCTCTGAGACTAGCCACTTTGAGGGAAACTAGACACTTAGTCGAGCAATGCAGGAAGACACTGCGGATCTTTATGGTGGTCTTTTCGCAAGATGAAGGGACCCTAGGACTACCAGGGACCAATGACAGGATGACATTATCGTGAGTTCAGAAGCCGGAAGTTATGTATCACATTTAAAATGTATATTTCCTCCAACCCAGACATCTTACTTCTAGAATCGCTACAGAAGCACACAGGCAGGCAAACACATGTCTGGATGAGGAGACCATGCCATTTATTTCAGAGAAAAGTTGAAGTTGCCTACATGTTTGTTAACGGGAAGATTGGTTTACACAAACGCTGGCATATCACCACAGTGCAACTGCAGTCGTTAAAAAGGATAAGGGGGCTGGGTGCGATGGCTCATACCTGTAATCCCAGAACTTTGGGAGGCCAAGGCAAGAGATCACTTGAGGCCAGGAGTTCAAAACCAGCCTAGACAACATAGAGAGACCTTGTATCTACAAAAAATTTAAAAAATTAGCTGGGCATGGTGGTGTATGCTTGTAGTCCCAGGAGGCTGAGGCAAAAGGATCACCTGAGCCCAGGAAGCCGAGGCTGCAGTGCAACGTGATTGTGCCACTGCACCCTAGGTGACAGAGTGAGACCCCCGACTAAAAAAAAAAAGAATTCTGTGTATGTGTATGTGGAAACTCATACATAAATAGACACCTAGAAGAACACACACCAAGAGGGAGTACCCCAAGGAAATGAAATTGGTTAAAGAGAAAGTGAAGGAAGGCAGTAAGCAGGGAATATTATTTTATTCACTCCTGTGTCCCTGGCACCCTGGAGAGCCTGGCATGGGGTAGCTATTTGATGAACAAATAGACACATTGTCATTGACACTCATGTCACTGGCACAAGCTGCAGTGATAAGAAGACAGACAGTAAGGCTGGATGGGGAGGAGCAGGGAGCAGAGTGTGGGGGGCCTGTGCAGATGTCAGTGAGGTCGTCTTAGAAAGTGATGCTGGATCAGTGATGAAGAGCTGAGTTAAGGCTGTGGAGAGGGGGACAGGGATGGATGAGAGGCTGGAATCGAGAAAGAGTTAGAAGGTCAAACTCAGAGGACTTGATAAACTGTTGAATATGGGAGGAAAAAGTCATCAATGCCATTGATTAGGAAGTTAATTTGTACATTATATTGAACTTGGATGATAGCTGTAATTTTTTTTTGAGTCAAAGTCTCACTCTGTTCCCAAGCTGGAGTGCAGTGGTACACTCACGGCCACCGCAGCCTCAACCTGCTGGCCTCAGGCGATCCTTCTGCCTCAGCCTTCCAAGTAGCTGAAACTACAAGCACACACCACCACGCCCAGCTAATTTTTTGAATTATTGTAGAGACGAGGCCCAGGCTGGTCTTGAATCCCTGGGCTAGACAATCCACTAGCCTCCACCTCCCAAAGTGCTGGGATTACAGGCATGAGTCATCATGCTCAACGATAGTTGTAATTTTTTAAAACGTCAATTTAAAAAAGAAAAAAAAAAACAAAGAAAAAGAAGTACCCAGTAAAGCAGAATGAAAGCTTTATTTTATTTTATTTTTTTTTTGCTGTTAATAAGGAAAATAATTAAAGGAAGGAAGGAGAAAAAGAATGTACTCTTTTCCCCAAAGCCCTAACCTGCATGAGGCATTAAGAGTGCAGAGCAGATGTGCACTCATCAGTCACCACGGGCGTTTCCTGCCATCATATGCTTTGCTTTCAGCTCAAGTGACATATCCACCTGGCTGCAGCTCTAGCAAGGGTCTTGGCAAGGTCTGTGTCCAGGGAAAGGCCACTCCCCCTATGCACATGTTGTGGGGACCCAGGGATGTGCCGCTGACCACTCAGGCCTCCTCCACACCAGCTTCCCAGACTGCCTTCAACAGGAAATTGTCAGTTTCTTAAAATATCTTGAATACTTTAAATGTTCTGACTCCCTGGGCTGCCAAGGCATAGAACCAGACAGTTGTCGCACAGAACAGCTGCCACGTACAGGCGCTGGGTGCAAACACCAGGAAGAAGCTGCTGGAGCCTTTCAAGGTGGACCCTCTAACCCTCTTTTCTGGAACAACTGGCCCCAACCTGGGCCCAGCACCCTCAGCTGCCATCTGAGCAGCTGACTCAGAGCAAAGCCTCAGTGGTGCTTCTTCTAAGAACAAGTGACATTAGCTGAAGTTAATTTGAATTTCTTTCCAAAGTCATCAAGGAAAACAAAACAAAACAAAAACTCATGGCTGCCTCCCTCTCCTCCCTAAAAGGAAAAAAATGCAATGTCCTCTGTTTGCTGGCCAGGTGTCCCCAGCACCCAACACGTGGTCAGGCTTCTGTCAGGTGCTCAGTAAATATCTGTCAAATGAATGAAGTTGGTCAAACACAACATACGACTTCAGAAACAGAGACACCCCTGCCTCCTTCTAGACTGACATTGGTGAGGAAGGAAAGAGGAGTTTACAATTGAAATTTAACTCAGAAAAGCAGTCAGAGCTTTTGTTGTGAAATGTGTCAACCATTTGAGCCCACGCTGGTGCATGTGGTAGCCACCAACGGAAACCATGGCTACCACAGGGGAATTCAGGGCCCCTTCGCCGAGTGGGGTTCTTGAGGTAGCCACAGTAAAACACCTGGGAACTTTCCTACCTTATTTTCCATCCTTAAGTTCCCTCCGTGTCTGCCCTGTCTACATGTTCGCTCCCTTTCTCCCGTACTTCCTATTTATGTATTTAATTTTTTGACCATCTCTGTGCTTGAGGCCTCTTAAAGCAACAGATGCAGTCAGGAGCCTGACACACTTGTTTCTGAGGCAGCCACTGTCTCCCTCAGTGACTGAGAATATTATGTTTCTCTTCCTCCTCTATATCAAGAGAGGACTAGATCCCCATAATTTCTAAAGTCACCACCATCTGTGTCTTTTGGTTTTTCTAAATTATTTCTCTTCTTCCCCTACTCTAAGAAGGGAGGAGGTAGAAGGATTAGAAGAATAGTGTGTGTGTGTGTGTGTGTGTGTGTGTGTGTGTGTGTGTGTGTGTGTGTTGGGGTCTCACTCTGTCACCTAGGCTGGAGTGCGTTGTTTCGACCACAATTCACCACAGCCTCCACCTCCCAGGCTCAGGGGATCCTTCCACCTCAGCCTCCTCAGTAGCTGGGACTACAGGTATGTCCACCACACCCAGCTAAGTTTTTTATTTTTTGTATGGATGAGGTCTCATTATGTTGCCTAGGCTGGACTCAAACTTTTGGGATTAAGCAATCCTCTAGCCTCAGCTTCCTAAAGTGCTGGGATTACAGGCATGAGCCACCACACCCAGCCTAAGAAGAATAGTTAATAATCAGTCAAGGATTTCAGATCCACAGAAAAGGCAGATATCTCCTCCCTACTCATATAATCTAGCCATTAATCCTGAGTCTGAGTCCACCCAGAAACAAATTCTAAGCAGAAGCGGCCATTTGTAGAACCAGGCAAGTCCAAGCCACTGGCTTTGGCAGTTTTCAGATGGCAAGCTCACAGGCTTGGAACATGGCCTAGTGATGATTCAAAGATTCTCTTTTATATTACATATCTAGACAAAAGGTGGCCCCAAATTAAAACCCAAGAAGGTGGAAACATGTCACTTTTCTCAAGTTGTCATATGAAAAGTGTCTACATGTCAGAATCAAATATCTCAGTGTGTACAAGAGACCTCTGTGGACCTTTAAATGAGAACAACTCTTCAGTTTACAGATGAGGAAACTGATTCCCAGGGAGGTAAAATTGGCTATCCAGGGTCACACAGGATCGCCTGAACCCAGCAGATTGAGGCTGCAGTAAGCTCTGAGTGTGCCACACTACACTCCAGCTGGGAGACAGAGTGAGACTCTGACAGGAAAATAAATAAATAAAAAGAAGCAGAATAGAACTAGTCCCCCCAAGAGCCCCCTGTGCCTTCTTTCTGTCACTTCCCTCCAGGGTAACCACAATCTTGAGTTTTGTTTTACTTTTCATTCCAACTTCCTTAATACATGATGCTGGCCTGACTTAAAAGAGCCACACACCTAAAGAGCATATCTGATTTCAGTTTAAATTCAGAGGGGGCTCTTTTGTATAGTGAGAGAAAAGGGCCTGATTTCCTAGTGAAATTGCTCTTGGACCCACTGGTTTCTGAACTGGAGTTCAGTTTCCCTAAACCTTTCGAAACCATGTTTCTCAAGCATCTTCCTTAATTAGTTGCCACCCTGAACCTATGTTTTCTAAGAAGTACTGGGCATTTTTGAGCTGGCTTCCTTCCATCTGAAATGTCCTATGCAGGAAAGTCCCTTTACTCTCTGGAGGTACAGTATGTAGCCCACACAGTCAACCATATGAATAAACTGGGCCCAAAGTCAGAGGGAGGAAACGGGTGATGGGACATTTGGAAAGGGTCTGCAGTGGCAGAGAGCTCGATGTGTTCAAATAAGTGGTGGCAGGGAGGGAGGAGGAGTGGAGGTGATGGCCGGTGGTCAGGGCCACTCATGCCAGGTCCCTGGGCTTGGCTGCAACCTGGCCTGAGGGACCTCATAAGAAGCTTGGATTTAATTAAAATGCCATAGGGAACCATTGATGGGTTTGTCCTAGACCAATCAACCAATTGTCCCTTCAGGGATAAAGTCAGGTTTATTAACTCAAAGAGGAAGATAGCAGAGCAGAGGAACCTGGGCAACACACAGAGGAACAGGCAGCATAGTTATAGGATGGGGAAAGGCAGGTTTTAGATGAACTGTCACCGTACCCGTATCTTGACAGACACAGGGCAGAGGCAGAGGGGTTCGTCTCAGCCCAGACTGCAAGCGGACCGCTTTCTCCTCAGCAACTTCAAAGTGAAGGAATTTGGGGCCCAGATATCCCTATCTGAAACTCTACACAGGAGGCTGGGAATCAAGGCTGTGTCAATGACTCCGATCCTGCAGGAAACATGGGGATGTTTCTTTCTTGCTGATATTACTTGAGGAAGCTGTGCACCTGAAAGCCTAGAATTTTAGAGAACTCGGTTTCCCAGGAAGCAAGAAAGCAGCTGTTCCCCAGAGAAGGGGGCTGTTCTGAGACTCGGCAGCCACAGTGTGTCCTTGGGAGAAACCGTTGCCTGGTTCGCCTTACAGCTGCTTGATCTGCGACTGTGAACCCAGACAGATGAGTGGCTGGGTGGATACTTACACCAAGCTAATTTTTGCCATTCCAAATCATACACATTCATTTGCCAAACAAATAGATAAATACTAGCACTTACCACATGCCAGTCCCAGTGCCATGTCCTGGAGACCCTGGGGACCCTGGCCTAGTCCTCAGAAGTCTCTCCTCCACTTGGACTCCCCCCTCACCATGTCTCACACATTTAACCGTAACCATCCAATGATCCTGCCCTGAAAGCCCCCTCCTCAGTGTCAGACTCCTCGGTGGGAAGCTCATTTTCTCCTTCTCCTCCTTTGCAGACCCTGTCTCACTTCCCAGCCTGAGTCCCAGGTGTGCCCAGACCTTATTTCCCCTTAGACCTTAAGCCTGTGACAGACATTACCCTCTATGCTCTAAAAAGTCACCATCTAGGTGCCTCCCAGAGACATTCTAGTTCAAGAGGTCTGAGGTGGGAGCCCTGGCAGCTGTATTATTTTTAAACTTACCGAGTGGTTCAGGTCCCTGGCTGGTCTTGGAAACTCCTGCCCTGTGGCACTCAGTGTGGTGCCCAGCAACAAGTCAATATCACTGAACTCTAGAAGATGAACTTGGATCCAAAGTTTCCATTTATGCACACGAACTCCATCGCTGAGAGAGACATGAGCAATAACTGGCCAAGTGCTCTCAATAAAATGTAATAACTTTTTAACTACACAGTCATTAAAAAGGACACGATTATGAACTTCGCAGCAACTTGGATGGATTTAGAGTCTGTGATACTAAGTGATCTATCACAGAAACAAAGAACTGAGTACCATATGTCCTCACTCATAAGCAGACCCTGAACAATGATCACAATACTATAAGAAAGGGATTGACAGTGATGGGACACTGCCGGGGAGGGGGCAAACTTCATCAAAGTGTACCTGATCTCAAACTGGGTGACATGGGGACCAAAGTGAGGCCCAACTTTACCTGGACAATGACCATTTGTATACCTAACCCTGAATTTTACCCCATATCTTTAAAATAGAATATATATATACATATATATTTAAAAACATATATAAAATAAATAAATATAATACATATATTTTAAAATGTGTGTGTGTGTGTGTGTGTGTGTGTGTGTGTGTGTGTGTATTTTGAGTCAGAGTCTTACTCTTGTTACTCAGGCTGGAGTGCAGTGGCACAATCATGGTTCACCACTGCCTCAGCCTCCTGGGCCCAGGGAGATCCTTCTACCTTAACCTCCTAAGTAGCTGGGACTACAGGTGCATGCCACCATGCCAGGCTACTTTTTCTGTAGAGTGAGCTCTCACTATGTTGCCCAGGCTGGTCTTGAACTCCTGAATTCAAGCAATCCTCCCACCTTGGCCTCCCGAAGTGCTGGGATTACAGATAAGAGCCACTACACCCAGTCAATAAAATATAAATCTGATTGGCTTACCTGAGCTGCTCCCTTGTTAACACTTTCTCTCTCTCTCTCTCTCTCTCTCTCTCTCTCTCTCTCTCTCTCTCTCTCTCTCTCTCTCTCTCTCTCTCTCTCTCTCGTCTCTCTCCCATCCTTCCTCCTTTCCATAATTTTAAATTGCCCCAAACCGCCAAGTTCTCTTCTGCCACCCACTGGTGCTAGCGAAAGCTGCCTGTCACAATTCACTTCCTAGTCTCCCGTCAGCCTTCAGCCCAGGTGACACATCCTTGGACAGGCCTTGGTGTCCTCCCAGACCTCATTAGTCCCTACACCTTACACCCTGGAAGCCCCCGCTGCTTGTCTCATTCACGGCTATGGCCTCAGCATGTTAGATGAGCCACCACGAGTAACCCAGGATCACAGTCACCGCCTCTGGATTCCTGGAGAATGTCTGAATCATTCGGCAAGCGGGTTTACACCACAGGTTCCCAGTCCTCCTCGGCACTCAGAGAATCAGTACTATGGGTGTGGGCCTGTGATTCTGCAAGTCAGCCTGCTTCCTAGCTGAGGCAGATCAGGGTGCTGTGGACTGCCCAGTGAGGAAGACTGCCCTTCCCAGGAACCTCCTGAAAGTGAGGGGCGCGCCCATCTGCAGTGCCGGGCGACCACCTCCACAGTATCTACCCAACTGTCTTTGCTGTTTAAAAGGTAACTTTGAACATGTCCGTGATCATCAGTGTGACGTTGTCTTTCCTTTGACTTCCTCTTTTCTCTCCAAGACCCTCTTCACGCTTCCCAGACCTGCTCGAGCCTCGCTGCCGACTCTGCCTTCCCAAGTATACGACGTACCTGTCAAGAACCGGGTCCCTGCAGGCCTTAAGGTGAGCCTCGTTCAGCGGCCCCCCTTCACCTGAACCTCTGCTCCTAGAGTCACACAGACATTGCGTTTCAACTTTACAGAGAGAGATAGGGGCTACGTCTACTCAGACTCCAAAATACACACCATGGCGGGGCATGGTGGCTCACATCTGCAATCCCAGTCCTTTGGGAGGTCTTGGTGGGAGGGTCACTTAAGCCCAGGAGTTCAAGACCAGTCTGGGCAACATAGCAAGATTCCATCTCTATAAAGAACATCAGTCAATCAATATTTTTTAAAAACAATAAAAAATAACACATTATCATTTAGAGATCAACATTGTAAGCTTTTTGTGTCTGTGGAGCCCAAACCTGCCCAGGAGAATGTTATAGTTATTTGAATTCTTAATACTTTTACTTTTCATTTGTAATTGAGATTTCATATAGGTATGTGTGTCTATAAACAGCCGGGCTCAGTGGCTCAGCCTGTAATCCCGCGCCTTGGGAGGCTGAGGTGAGTGGATTGCCAGAGCTCACGGGTTCGAGACCCGCCTGGGCAACTTGGTGAGACCTCATCTCTACAATAAATAAAAAAAAAAAATTAGCCAGGTGTGGTAGTGCGCACCTGTAGTTCCAACTACTTGGAAGGTTGAGGCAGAAGGCTCTCCGGAGCCCAGCAGGTCGAGGCTGCGGTGGCCAGGAGTGGCCACTGCACTCCAGTCTGGGGGACAGAGTGAGACTCCAACTCAAAAAACAACAACAAAAATAAAACCACACATATACTCATATTTTTAAAACAATAACATCTTGAAGGACAGGCACCACAGTCTTAATGTGGATCCTCATTGATTACCTCCACATTGATTATCTCTGAGGGAAGACATTTTATTTATTTACTTATTTATGTATTTATTGTTTTTGAGTTAGGGTCTCACTGTCACCCAGACTGGAGTGCAGCGGCCACTCCTGGCCACTGCAGCCTCGACCTGCTGGGCTCTGGTGATCCTTTCGCCTCAGCCTTCCAAGTGGCTGGAACTACAGATGCGCGCTACCACGCCTGGCTAATTTTTGACTTATTGTAGAGATGAGGTCTCGAAACCATGGACTCAGGCAATCCACTCACCTCAGCCTCCCAAAGCACTGGGATTACAGGCTGAGCCACCAAACCCGGCTAGTTATTTTTTAAACTTATGTGTAACTAGTGTATCAAATTTGTAAGACATGCTTCATCTGGTCAAAAAATAGCTTCACTCCTTTCTCAGCCTATCAAACCTGCTCTGTGGTGGCATTCTCCCCACCCAGGTCTGTGGCTCTCAATCTCCCTAGCCTGCTGGAATCACTTGGGAACTTTGGCCATTCCGCTGCCTGGGTACCACCCCCAGACACTCTGATGTGTCAGGTCTGGGTGGGACCCAAGCATCCAGATTTTTCCACTCCCAGATAATTCCAGTGCACAGCCAGGACTGAGAGTCACAGTCCAAATAAAACTCCAAGCAGCTCTGTGACTTCCTGATCACTCACAGATAACAAGGAGTCAACTCCAGTCCAGGCAATAATCAAAGTTTCTAGTTCCCTTCAAGCCAAACCTGGCTGGGCATAGTGGCTCACACCTGTAATCCCAACATGTTGGGAGGTCTAGTCGGGAGGATTACTTGAGTGCAGGAGTTCAAGGCCAACCTGGGCAATGTAGCAAGACCTCATCTTTACAAAAAATAAAAAATTAGCTGGGGGTGGTGGTGCTCACCTGTAGTCCCAGCTACTCAGGATGCTGAGGTGGGAGGATTGCCTGAGTCCAGGAGGTCGAGGCTGCAGTGATTGTGCCACTGTACTCCAGTTAGACCCTGACTTAAAAAATAAAATAAAATAAAATAAAAAGCCCAAGCTCTTGTCTTCCTGAACTCGGGCCTGTTTGCTGGGCCTGGACACCTGTAGTGAGATCTGAGGCTTGACTAGGTTGTCTGCTGGTTCACTATCTCAGGTTTATACCCCTTCCCACTCACTGGGTGGTCTCAGGGTCCTGAAAGGCTGTGGGAGTCAAGCGGGGAGTGAGGTCGTGAAGGGGAATTGCCCTACTAGCCAGGTTCTGCTGGTGAGATGCTGCAGAGCTGCTTTTGGCAGTGGTGAGAGCTGCAGGCAGATTCTTTCTCTTCTGGGCCATCTCTGCAAGTGCCATGCCCTCCACCCCTACCTCCTGACTGAGTATCTCTTACCTGCAAGTGCCCCACGGTGGGCAAACGCATATCCTCTGGTTGATGACTCTCTCCCCCAGCTCCAGGGCAGGCGGGTCATCCCCACCCTTGTCCTCCTCACCATTCTGTCCTGGCTCTCATGTAATCCTCACCTGGCCACAGGAAACACACACACTCCCTTTGCCATGGGAGACCCCAGCAGCACAGGCACTCACCTTGGGTGCAAGAGTTTTAAATGAAGGCACACATCACTCATTTCACCCTAATCCTGGCCCCATTGGGTTCTGTTTTTATGTAAAATTTGGACATTTTTTTCGCCGTGAGTTTTCTGCATTCATTATGATGTTTACAATTATTGTATTGGAATATTATTTACATTGATGGCTGAAGTTTTTTGTTTTGTTTTGAGTCAAGATCTCTGTCACCCAGGCTGGTTCAGTGGCACAATCATGGCTCACCACAGCCTCGATCTCCTGGGATTAAGCAATTCTTCCACCTTAGCCTCCTGAGTAACTGGGACTACAGGCACACACCACCACACCCAGCTAATTTTTTTTTTTTTTTTGAGAGTCTTACTATGTTTCTCAGGCAGATCTCAAACTCCTGGTCTCAAGCAATCTCTCACCTTGGCCTCCCACCTGAGGAGGGCTAGGATTACAGATGTGAGTCATTGTATGCGGTTAATGATTGTGTTTGTTGACACCCCCTTAATGTTATGCCCAAGACAAGTGCTTTGCTCTCCTCCCCCTGGTCCTGGCCCTGAGTGCAGGCCATCCCCAGCACAGCCACCACTTTGCCCTTTGTCATCAGCCTGGCACCTTCACTTTTCCCAAGCCAGATTTCACCCTGTGCACCGTGACCCCAAGTTCAGGGGCACAGCATAAGTCATTGAATGGCCTCAATGTGAGCACTCGATGCTTTACTTGAGGGGAGGAAAGGCATCCCACCCTTCCCCAACTGAAGAGAGGCACTAGGAGACTCAAAGCTCAACTCCCTCCAAAGATACCCTCCTCCAATTTCCAGCTCTTTATTTATTTACAAAACCTGTTTTTTGGTGCTCTCTCACCTTGCTTTGGAATTTGGACCCTATTTTTCACATCCTAATATAATGTTTTATATGACATATATCTCAAGCCACTGAAGGAGCCTGAACAGGCAAGTGATAATCAGATTTATACGAAGCACGATGCCTGACACTTGGTAGGCCCTCAGTAAGGTTCACATTCATCAAATGAGTCACTTGAACCCTTTTTTATTGCTCTTGCTAACATATGTATACAGTGTCTGTTGGCTTAGTGTTTGGTAGTTAGTAGGACTCAATACAAAGTTGCAGGATGAACATATGAGTGATAAACACAGAAAATTTTCTACTGGGAAAAACAAACAAACAAGAAAGAAAGAAGACATATTAGGTCCCAATCTCATTTATTCTTCTAGCTTAATTCAATCTTGAGCCTAACACACAGAAGGAGTCGAATTATCCTTTTTGACTCAGGCAGCTGTAGTTCACTATCTCTATGGTTTTTCCCCACCTTTGATCAAAACAGATCTTTTTAAATCACAAAGCCTACTGTTGAATGCATGTCCACTGTAGCAGAGGGACGTCCACCATTAGTCTTCAGGGATGTGTGTTTTCCTTTGGAAAAATTCACTGGAATGGGGAGTATTGGTGATGTGTAGCCATTAGGAAAGAAAATTCAAGTTGCCCTCCTTTGTGGTCTTTTTTCAGGAGCCAGAGAACCAACAATTGTATGACATACCGGCCAGCCCCCGAAAGGCAGGACTCCATCCCCTGGCCAGTCACACAGGCGTAAGTGTGCAGAGGTGCTGAGATGCAATGCTATGAACACCTGAAATTCCTCTGGAAAATTCCATTAGCATGGTTAAAAATCAGAATGCAAATTCCTCATAACAAATCTTTTTGTATTTGAGGCAAAACCCCTAAGTGTACTGGTATTTGGGATTAGGATTAGCTGTGTGGTTTGGAATAAATCATTCAACGCCTCTGTGTCCCAGTTTTTATGTGTTGGGGGTTTTAAGTGAGATAATCCCTGAAAAGGACCTGAGACAGTCCCTGGCACTGAGCTAGAGCTCAGCAAATTTAGATGATTGCATCTCATTATGACAGAGCTCAAGGACGTGTTATGTTGGTGTACACTTGTATTTGTATATGGAGGAATGACTTAATTTGAAATCTGTGCAATCCGTGTTTATCATTGAATTCTACATGTGCTCCATAAATACACTTATGCCCAAGGTTATTAGGAGCATCTTACAAGAAAGGTGGCATTTCAGCAGTGTCTTAAGGGACACATAGGAGTTGGTTGGATGGAAAGGAAAGGGTTTCAAGGGCATTAAGAGCAAAGAAAACCGTTTGGGCAAAATGAAATACAACAGTATGAGTAAGTGTTCTGAGTTCAGGGGAAGGTAAACAGCTGGGTGGCTGGATTCACACAGTTGTGGTGGCAGACAAGGTGGGGTCAGCATTGGCCAGGTGGAGAGAAAGGAGGCATAAAAGAGGTGGAGGCAGGTGGTGAAGGGCCTTGAGTGACAACAGAAATGAGGAGCCACTGAAGGAACTTGTGCAGGGGAGTGATGCTCAGATTCAAATGAGTCGTTCAGACTCTCTTTGTATTGCTACTAATCTGGGTGACTTTGTGTGGTTTTTTCCTCAGGGACAGAATGTTCCCGTGACATCGACAACTGCCTTAAGAAGAGGTGGTTACAGCACATTACCAAATCCTCAGAAATCAGAATGGATTTATGATACTCCAATGTCTCCAAGAATGGCCAATGTCAGAAATACATCTCTAGCCAGCTTTGTGGAAGAATCGGAAGCCCCTACTGTCCCCAGTTCTAGCTCCGCTTTCATGCCCCCAAGCAGCAGAGCCTGGTCCCTCACTCCACGACTAAATAACAATGTGCTCATGCAGAAAAAACTCAGTCTTCCAGAAATTCCTTTCTGTGGTATCTCAGCACCCAGGGACACATTCCCTCTGGATGAAGGTGTCAGCTACAAGGTTCCTTCAAGCTTTCTGATTCGCCGGGTGGAACAGCAGAACACCAAGCCCAACATTTATGACAGCCCTAAAGCAATGTTGAGTGTCCCTCAGTCTGGGAAAGAGCTGGGAAAAGCCAATGAGACTTCTGAGAATTCCTCATGGTTCTCCAGACAGGCAACTTCTCTGTCTCCTGAATCGGACAGATTATCCGTTTCCAGTTCTGACAGCAGAGCTAGTGTCCTTTCGTCGTGCTCCACCATGTCTACCGACTCCTCCTCCAGCTCTTCCTCGGAGGAGTCAGCAAAGGAGCTCTCCCTGGACCTTGACCCGGACTTGGCCAAAGAGACAGCCATGGCTCTTCAGCACAAGGTGGTCAGTGCCGTAGCGGGCCTGATGCTCTTTGTAAGTAGGAAGTGGAGGTTCAGAGACTACTTGGAGGCCAACATCGTCGCGATCCACAGGGCCACTGATCACATAGAAGAATCTGTAAGAGAATTTCTGGAGTTTGCCCGAGGGGTCCGTGGGACTGCCTGTAACCTCACCAATAGTAATCTCCAGACCAGAATTAGGGATCAGCTACAGACAATCTCCAACTCCTACCAGATCCTGCTTGAAACAAAGGAGCGTCTGGATAGCTGCAATTGGTCCCTGGCAGTCCTTGTGACTGACAAAGTCCAAAACAGCCCAGATGACCTTGAGAGGTTTGTCATGGTGGCGCGGATGGTTCCAGAAGACATCAAGAGGTTTGCTTCCATTGTCATTGCCAATGGGAGGCTCCTTTTTAAGCAGAACTATGAAAAGGAAGAGACCGTGCAATTGACACCAAATGTAGAATTTAAGTGTGTAAAATGCATCCAGCCTTCTCAAAGAGAAATTGAGTCACACCAAAGGAGTCCTCCTTTTAATAAGCAAAGGGAAAAAGAACACTCCCCTGAACTCTTAGAGAAAAATAGATCAAATGTCTGTGGACAGGTGAGCTTTCTCTTACAGAAAAATAGGACAAACGTTTGAGAAATTTTAATTGTTGCCTGAAGTGCACATCTCTGAGTTAGATAATGAGAATCTTTCCATAGGGCATAGGCTTTGGGGTGACACTGGACACTGGTTCTTTTTTTTTTTACTTTGAGTCAGAGGTTCACTCTCACTCCCAGGCTAGAGTGCAGTGGCACAATCACGGCTCATTGTAGCCTGACCCCCTGGGCTCAGGTGATCCTTCCTCCTCAGTCACCTAAGTAGCTGGGACTACAGGTAGGAGCCACCATGCCTGGTTAATTTTTTGAATTTTTTTTGTAGAGATAAAGTCTTGCTATGTTGTCTAGGCTGCTTGCAAACTCCTGGGGTCAAGCGATTCTCCCATCTCGGTCTCCCAAAGTACTAGGATTACAGGCGTGAGCCTTCCATGCCCGGCCCACTGGTTTCATTTTTTAAATTCATGTAAGTAAAATTCTGGATGAAACCTTATTAGCAGGTAAAATACATATTTCCTTATTAAGACAGACAGTTTAGCATACTTGAATTTCTTATGGAAATTTTTGGGGTTCAGGTTTACCACTGACATGAGAATTTTAAAGGATTTTTAAACTCTTCTTAAAATCCATTCTTCGAGTAGATTTTTTAAATCTTTTTTTTTTTGAGTTGGAGTCTCACTTTGTCGCCCAGGCTAGAGTACAGTGGCATGCTCATGGCCACCTCAGCGTTGACCTGTTAGCTTTGGCGATCTTTCTGCCTCAGCCTCCCAAGTAGCCGGAACTATAGGCAATGGCTAACATGGCTGGCTGATTTTTAAAAAAATATTGTAGAGACAAGGTCTCACCATGTTGACCAGGCTGGTCTCAAACCTGCAGGCTCAGGCAATCCTCTTGCCTCAGCCTCCCAAAGTGCTGGGATTACAGGCTTGAGTCACCACACTCGGACTGAATTTAAAAATCTTAAACACCAAGTTTCCTTGCATTTTTGAAAGTTTTAAATTTAGTCATTGTCAGTGTGTATCCTAGCAACAAGAGAGGAAGTATAAACATTGTTTCAAAGTGTTTATGGTGTGATCATCCTCCAGACTTTAGCTACTCTTTTTTTTTTTTTTTTTTTTTTTGGAGTCTCACTCTGTTGCCATGCTGGAGGGCAGTGGCACGCT